GTGACATCAAAAAATATTCTTGAAATTATTGTATAGATGAAAATCTTAGTAAAAATTAGGTCAGATAAAGAACAACTTTGAAAAGTCTAGAAATGAAGTATATGGTAACTAATTTTTTTTTTTACTGTTTACACCTGTCATTGAAAATAACATCACTAGACTTGAAGATAGAGCAAATTAAATTATTTAGCATAAAGAAAAATAATAAAATTGGAAAGGAGAAAAAAGGGCAAGTGCTAATGTTAAAAGGTCCGATGTATATGTGCTTTGAATGGTGGTTGTTAAAAAACAACAGCCATATTGTTTTGTTTTGGTGGCAGACCTGAAATTGAAAACATGTTTTCTTCATGTGTATCTTAGTTAGGGTTTATGTTGCTGTGATACAACAGTATGACTAAAAGCAACTTGGGGAGGAAAGGATTTATTTCAGCTTACAGTTAGTTGTCTATCAGGAAGGGAAATCAGGGCAGGAACTCAGAAGCAGAAATTGAAGGAGAGGCCATAGAGGAAGAGTGCTTCCTTACTGGTTTGCTCTCTGTGTCTTGCTCAGCTACCCTCTTGTACGTCACAGAACCACCCATAGTAGGCTGGGCCCTCTCACCTTAGTCATTAATCAAGGAACCCACAACAGTCTTGCTTATAGGCTAATCGGATGGAGACATTTTCTCAAGGCTCCCACTTCCCAAATGACCCAACTGTGTCAAGCTGACAGAAACCTTAACTAGGGCATCATGACTAAGTTCACTTAGTCATCTAGCTAGACACCAGATATAGAAAGAAAAATTTGGAAGCCCTGAGTGAAAAATGACACTATGGAAAACTATAAATAATTGAAACCCATGAGATTATTTTTCATCTAATACTTTAAAATGATGCATTTACTTCAAACAAACAATAAAACCAATCCAGAATATTTTATTGCAGTATTTAGCTGTAATGCATATCAGTTATGAAATAAGATAGAGTGATTGAGAAAATGACCTACATAATTGGAAGCTTTTACATTTTATAGGAACTTGTGCAATATAACTGATAGTCTGAAAAGTTAAGGATTTTACCCTAAGAAAATTTAAAAATAATCAAGAGATGTGTGCCTCTAAATGATTGTCAGAAAAAAAAATCATTTAAGTGAAAAAAGAAAAAAAGGCAATCAGGAAGGCCTAGAGGGACCCCTCAAAAGTCTGGAGGTGATAGACAGAAAACAAAAAGAGTAGGGTGTATAGCTCAGCTGTAGAGCATGTGCTTGGCATGTTTGACATCCTGGGTTGCATGTTCATCATCAGGGACAAAAGCAGGAGTTCACTGTTCACTGTCTGTAAGCCATAATTTGTACAGAGAGCTTGAACATAAATGGATGGGAGAAGGTACAGGGTACAAATAGCAAACCTAAAATGCACGCTTAATTAAGAAAGTAGATTTCACAATAAAAATTCCCCCGAGATGAAGGATACTTTGTGACAAAGGATACTACATTAGGAAGATATAACAATCCCAACATTAAAGCAATAACTTATTCTATTTTGGGCACCTCATAACAAAGCTACAAATGCACAAAACAAAAGTGGGTAGAATTCATTTTTCTTTTGAATTATTAAAGTAAAAAGGCAATTCCAAAAGAACTGTTGGATCCTTCAGTGTTTTTTTTTTTTTTTTGCAAAATTGATAGGACAGAGAGACAGAAAATTAGTAATGATGTCCAAGTCCTTAGCGACAGTAACAACTCTGTTAAGTGAATTGATGTTTATAGAACACTCAGCAACTACAGAATACGTAGTCTTTTCTAGTACGCGGGATGTTTATATCCTGGACAACAAGGCAAGTTTTAATCAAACTATAAAAAAAGTTAAAAGAGCTCTTGGTACATGGTGGCTCACTATAATCCCAGTACTTCTGGAGGCTGAACTGCAAAGTTCAACCTCTTGAACTAATAAACACATCAAATAAAGAATTGCAAAGGAAATTGAAAGCTTTATAAAGTTGGCTCTTGGAAAGTACCAATAAAATTGAATATATACATATATGTATATATGTGTATGTATGTATATATTTATATATATATATATATATTAAAAGCTTTTGTATATATAAGAAGGAAGTAATAGAAGATGGCTTACCAAATCTGGAATGAATGCTATTTTCATGATTAAGCTATCATCCCAGACATTATAGAGGTCCTTGGGCTCAAGGGGAAAGCAGGATTATTAAGCAATTAGGATTGTCTGTTTAATAAAGAGAAGTATAAAGTATACCTGTTTTTTCACCAAGAAAGTTGGGAATGGGGGTGGTCAATAGCCTGGTGATCTGTACTATCTGTAAGCAGGATAAGAAATGACTAATAGTCTAAGTGATCTTTGCATTATCTGTATAACCAGGGGCTCCCGTAAGCTCCCCCAACCAGGACCATAGATGGCTAATAGCGCAGATGACCAGATTCTCCCCAGGGCCTTAAGATAATGCATGTAGCCTATCTCTAGAACCCATCTTCTTGGAAGAAGCTGCATGTACTTTGAGAAGTATGCCTCCTTGTGCAGAGGGGATTGTATTACACTAGGAAGCTTTTTTCCAAATTGTACTGTACTTAAATATGCTTGCAATAAACTGCCTGTTGTCAAACTCTGGAAGTGTGAACCAACACCAGCTAACTAGCCATGTTGAACTGGATTCCTTCTTGTCTCAGCGATTATTATTCTGCTGCCCTAGTGTTTACAGAGACTCCCACAAGACATTAAAAACATAATAGTAGAATGTGCCAAATATTATTTTGTAAACAAAGATTTAAGGTAAAATGGAAAAGTTCTCTGAAAAGGATCTGTTAAAATTGATTCTTGAAAAAGCAAAAACCATGAATAATCTTGTATATAACATTAGTATTAATTCCAAGGTAAATTGTTTGATTGATTAGTCTTACCAGATATGGAAGGCAAGAAAATTCAGTCTAATACAGTTCTTTTTAAATGAATAGTTTAGAAGTTACTTACTTACTAGCTTTCTATTTTTCTGCCTTAGGCTGTAAATGGTGAGGAGTGGTGCTAGCCCCTGGGGTCCTTTCAGGCCCTCATAGAAGTGTTTGTCCAGGTGGAGGTGGAGTATACTGGCCTGGTTCTCAAGCAGTATTTCTCTCTTGGGCTTTCTGCTTCTCCTCCTTTATTTTTAGTTAGTGTTCATTAATTGCACAAAATAGTGGCTTTCGTTGTGCCGTTTTTGACATGTGTGTAATATGCTTCTATCACACGAATACTTACCTTGCATCTTTTTGCCCTCATCTTTAGTAGTTTCCTGCCCACCTTCCCAGTAGTAGCTCCCTTCCTTTTCTCAGATAGTCTACTTTCATGGCTTTGGTTTGAATCTGAATTCCACATGTAAATGAAAACAGACTAGATTTGTTTTTCTGAGTCTGAGTTAGTTTGCTTAACATGAAGATGATTCCTTCCATTTCCCTGAAAATGACATAATTTTTGTTCCTTTTCTACATGTATGTATATAAAAAACTTAATTATGCATATTGATCCAATTATCTGTTGATGTGCAGCACCTTGGCAGTTTACATAATTTGACCATTGTCCTTCAGAAGTCCTGAAGTGAGTGTTAATGATTGACTGAGGTCCTGTAAACTCTGCACTCCACAGGGAGTGCCTTCCCATTCTTCTGAGGCCATAGAGACACTGATGTCAAAGCCAAAACAACAAAGCAAAAAGAACATTACAGATTTGTAGACTCTGTGAGCATATAAGAAAAAATACTGAACAAAAAATTAGTAAAGCTCAGCCAAGCTGTTGTTGTTAAGAATATGGAAAAAAGTCCCACGTATAAGTTTATACCCAGAAAACAAAGATGATTTAAGATCAAAACAGTTGATATAATTTGCCATGTTAATTAACAAAGTAAAGAAGAAAAATAATGAACTATTTGTATAATTCAGCAAAACAAATATTATTTTGATGGGAAATATTATTAGAAATAGTGCAGTCATATTATGTTTCACATTTTACTAGCATTGCAGTTTTAACACAAAATAAAGATTATATTATATTGTATATTTTTCTTCTTTAGATGCCTTCAAGTTTTTGAGATGTCCAGTTATATTGTCTTCAAATTTTACTTTTTAAATTTTGCTTCCTAATATTACATAACCAGAAACACACATGTTCTGCCTCCCCAAAATAACTAAATGAGATAGAAACATATTTACAGCAACTCAGGGGCATCTATCCAAACTATGTTACAGCTTTCTGTTGCTGTTGTTGTTAAATATCTGAAATAAGCTTGCATGCTGATGAAGATTTCATAGCCTCGTTGTCTCCTCTTAGATTTTGTTTCTCTGTTTTTTTGTGTGTGTATGCACATGTGTGTGTGTGCACATGTGTGTGGGTGTACATGTGTGAGGACATGTGGAAGCCTGAATTTTCTTGTGTGCTCGTGTGTGTGTTTAGGAGGTACACATCTGTGCAGGTACATATGTGGCCTAGGGTTAAGGGCGGGAAGTCATTCCTGGATTGCTTGTCTACCTTAAAGAAGCAGGGGTTTTCAGTCAAACCCAGAGCTCTCCGATATGGCTTGTTAGACAGCTCGCTCTGGGGATTCCCTGTCTTCAGCTTCAGTTTCTAGATTTAAGATGGACTGCCCTGTCCACTCAGCACTGTGAGTTTTTGGAGGTTTGAACACTAACCTTGATTTCTTCATGTCACATGCTTTAGCTGCTGATCCATCTTCCCAGCCCTCTCTTAGATTTCTTTTGGGGGGGGGGAGCAGGTAAAAATACAAATGACATGAACCCCCAAACTATGTCCTTTCTTTCCAATGATGTGGATTGAGGATTTTGCTTACTGGCAAACCTTCCTTAGTATCTACTTTGCAGATATCCAGTCTAGATACTGTACAGGAAGAGTGACATGTAGCCCTTACTGCAAGGCTTCCATGTCACTTGTACATTGTTGTCAGAGATGGCAACAAGCAGTATTTACCTATAACTTATAATTTGATTATTCATGTTTTTATCTCAGATATTCAAGACTAAAGCAGTGCAGTTGGCTGAGAAGCTCCTTCCTGCCTTTAATACACCTACTGGCATTCCCTGGGCAATGGTCAATCTGAAAAGGTAAACTCTACTTTATTTGATTATGTATGCTCCAAATTAATTAACTGAACTTTGATATTTTTATTCATGGATATCTTCAGTTATCTACTTCCACTATGTTTTTCAAGGTTTATTTTTCTCTGTATATGTAGTTGAAAATCAAAACCTTTTTTTATTTTTAACCTGTGTCCTTTTCTTTGAGACAGGTCATTCCAGTTTTGAATATTCGTCTCCAGTTCTGTTTAGTACTGTATTCAAAGTATTTTTCTCCCCTTTTCTTCTTACATGCTGCATACCATTCTTCTAAGGCAAGATAGAAAGTAGCCTAGAAATCAGGACTGTCTGTTGTTGACGCCATACTAAGGACAATGATAAGAGCTTCCAGTATAGTGTCTAGGCTCAAGGCTGAGCACGAATCCTTAAAATAATCACCCATTTTACTTGGAAATGGATAAAATGCTTTCTCTGTATTACTTTATGTAAGTCATACAAAAGTTTGGATGATGATGTCAATTTTTTGAATTTGTATTTGCATCCTTTATGCTGACTGAAATATTGCTGTTTAGGTTTTCTCCAGGTAGTATTTGTTATTCATCATAATGTCTACATTTCTAAACCACAGGAAAATGGGCCTGGTAGTTTTCTTGCACCCAGGTATCTTAGGACAAGTTGGGCACATTTCTCTTTCTGTAGGTGTGAGCATATGACACTCTAGATTGTAAGCCCTTGTTGTAACTAAGTTTGCAAATATTTTCTCCTGTCCCAAGAACTGGCCTTCATATGCTGGCTGTTGCCTTTGCTGTGTGCTAGTATTTTATGTAACTCCTGATAGTTCTCCTGTTTCTTTCCTTCTTATCCCCTAATTGCCTTTGAATTGATAGAGTACAGTTTGGAACTCAAGTTCATTTTTACTGTTTTTATTTACCTCACTATCTTTATTAAACAGCTGCTATAGGCATCCCACTTACACAACCGTCTTTTCAATGAGATTACACTTGGTATTGTACCGCTTAGTGTAAAAGACAGAAGCATTGCGGCCACACCTGTTCATTTCTCCCTCTTCCTATCAATTACCTGTGTTTTAAAATGAATTACACCTGATGCATTTTAATCGCAAAATAACAGTTAAAATATTTTTTAAACTGCCATATATATATTTCAGTGACAGTACGAGACATAGCAGTGGTCTCCAAATGTTAATATCTAGAACTTTTATTTAAAGTTTTCTTTTTTACATTTAAAAAATATTTGTGTGTTGGGCCAGGAGGTGGTGGCACACGCCTTTAATCCCAACACTTGGGATGCAGGGGCAGGTGAATCTCTGTGAGTTTGGGGCCAGCCTGGTCTACAAGAGCTAGTTCCAGGACAACTAGGACTGTTACACAGAGTAACCCTGTCTCAGAAAACAAAACAAAACAAAATTGTGTGTGCGTGTGTTGTGCATATATGCATGCATCTTCATGGGTGTTATGGAATACACATGGCGGTCAGAGGACGCTTAAGGGAATTTATTTTCTCTTTTTACCATGTGGGTTCTAGGAATCAAATTCAGTTGGTCAGGCTTGGTGGTGAAAGAAACCTTTACCCACTGAGCCATCTTCCCAGACTTCATTTCTTTTAATTGTAAACGTTTAAAAGATTTGTTTTTATGCTTACTTCTGTGTGGTTCTGTGTGCATGTGAGTGTAAAGCCAGTTCTCCTGACTTTCATGGGTCTGGATCTCCTAGATCTTAAGTGACCAGCCGTCGGGAGACACTTGATATGGGTACTGGGACCCCACAAAGGCTTTCCACTGCTAAACCAGCCTCTGGTTCCTGGCTTTCATTTCTATTTCAAGATCTAAAGTTTATTCACATCAGCCTGAAGAGGTTTATCTTACAGAGCTAGTGTTTTGGAATGGACATATCAAAGATTTCCCTCATCTAGGAAGCCTTTTGTTTTACTTTTATTCTTTTCTTTCTTTGATTATTTTATTGATAATTTATTTGATTATGTGTGAATATTTTGTCTGTATGTGTGTATGTGTACCACGTGCATACTCTGATGCCCAAGGAAGTCAGAAGAGAACATTGAGTTGCCTGGGACTGGAGTTAAAGCTGTGTAGGTGCTGGATCTGGAAAGAAACCTGGGTCCTCTGTAAGTGCAACAAGGACTCCTAACTTCTGAATCACCTTCCAGCCCCAGTCTGATTTTTTTTAAAACAGGAAAGGTGTACATTGTCATCATGGGGAAAGCATCAGCCTTGTGACGCAGATCTGCCTCTGAAGTTACATAGAGACGTGGGCAGGTCTTTAGGCTTTGTGTATGTCGTAGGCTATCTTGAATAGGCCATAATCTAGTGAATTACTGTTTTAAAACTGGATTTCTCTTCTAGCATTTGAAGTTTTTTTGTTTTAAAAATTAATTATTTAAGATTGCATTTACCAAATAGGTTTTATTATGGCATCTTTACATACCTTTATGTATCATATTTTCTGTTCATTCCTCCCATTTTCTCATTGACTTCCCACTTCCTTCTCCTAATAGTCCTACTTCTGTTTTCATATCACATCTATTTTATCACTCTTTTCTATTCTCTTTCCTTAAGATCTCTTTCTTTTCTCTCATTATCCTCTTTCTAGTTTCGAGATTTATACACACGTGTTTGCACACATATACATATGTGCAGGTACAAATATAATTATTTAATATAATAATTTCTAGTTCCTTTCATTCCCCATAGATATCATTTTGTTTCATTTATCTTTATGGCTAAATAAAATTTCACTGTGTACATGTACTGGATTTTCTTTATCCATTCATCTGTTTGTGAATATCTAGGCTGGTCCCATTGCTTGGAGTTTGTGAATAACACCCAACACACACGAATGTGCAAGTATCTCTCTCTATATATTGACTTAGAGTTCAAGTATATAACCCAAAAGTGGTATGACTGAGTCATATAGTAGTTTATTTTTCACTTTTAAAAAATGTGTGTATGTGTTTGGGATAGAGTGCAAGTATGTATAAATGTGTGGCCATAGTGTGCAGACCATGTTAGCCTAAAGTATGTATAAATGTGTGGCCATAGTGTGCAGACCATGTTAGCCTAAAGTATGTATAAATGTGTGGCCATAGTGTGCAGACCATGTTAGCCTAAAGTATGTATAAATGTGTGGCCATAGTGTGCAGACCATGTTAGCCTAAAGTATGTATAAATGTGTGCACATAGTGTGCAGACCATGTTAGCCTATATTCAGACAGGATTTCTCTCTGGCCTGGGCTCGCTTATCCTGGAGTGGCTGGCCAGTAAACCTCACCTATCCCTGTCTACCCAGCACTGGCATTACAAACATTGCCACTGTGCCTGGTTTTTGTTATTGTTGTTGTTTTGGTTTTCCACATGGGTTCCGGCATCAATCTCAGATCCTCATGCTTGCATGGCATGCACTTTAATGTCCCCAGCCCTATTTTAGCTTTTTGAGAAACCTATACTGATTTTCACAGTGTCTGTACAATTTACATTCCCGATAGTTCCCCATCTACTCACAGCTCTGTCTGTCTGTCTTTCTTTCTTTTTCCCCCTATATGGTAGCCACTCTAACTGGGGTACAATGTAATCTCAAAGTAGTTTCAATTTATGTTTCCCTGATTGCTAAGGATTCCAAATACGTTTCCCAGTTATTTATTGAACATTATTTTGAAAATTGGCTTCATTATTAGCACATTTATTGATGATTTCTTTCCTTCGGTATGTAATTTTCACAGTTCTTTGTGTATTCTAGCTATTAAAATTCCCTGCCTGATGTGTAGTTGGAGAAGAATTTTTTTTTTCATTCTGTAGATTATCTGTTCATTCTGGTGACTGTTTCTTTTGCTATGAAGAAGTCTTTTAATTTCATGTAATCTCATTTGTCAATTCTTAGAATTATATTCTATGTTATTGGAGTCATTGTTTATATCCTGAAGTGTTTTACCTATGTTTGCTTCTAGTGATTCTATACTTCCATGTTTATGTTAAGGTCTTTGATTCATTTTGAATTGATTTTTTTTCTTTTGGTACAGAGTGAGAGATAGGGATCTAATTTTATTCTTCTGCATGCTTGGAGAGGTTTTCCTGGCACCATTGTTACCAAGGTTATCCTTCCCCAAATTTATTCTTTTGACACCTTTGTCAAAATCAGGCAGCTGTAGCTCTGTGGGTTTGTTTCTGGGTCTTCTGTTTTTTTTTTTTTGGTTTATATAGTGATATTTTTTTTTGTATTTTAATAAATAAAGCTTGCCTGAAGACCAGACTGCAGAACAGCCACACCAGTCAGTCATACAGGCCAGGTAGTGGTGGCACATACCTTTAATCCCAGCATCCACACTAGTTAGCCATAGAGGCCGAGCGGTGGTGGTGCATGCCTTTAATCTCAGCACTAGAGAGGAATATAAGGTTGGATGGGACAGGAACTAGCTCTTCAGTCTGAAGATTTCATAGAGGAAAGAGCTCTCTAGTGGCTGCTTCTCGATCTTCAGATGGAACCCCAGTGTCTGTCTCTGGGTATTCATGCTACAGGTTTACATGTCTGTTTTTGTACCAGTACCATTCTGTTTTGCTACTAAGGCTTTGTAATAGAACTTGAGGCCAGATTTTGTTATCTCCAGCATTGTTCTTTCTAAGAATGCTTCAGCTACTCAGGGTCGTTAGTGTTTTCATATAAACCTTAGGATTTTTACTTCTAGTTCTGTGTAGAATGATATTGGGATTTTAATGGGGAATGTGTTGTCTATGTAGATAGCATTAGGAAATATTTGTATTTCACAATATTAGTTCTGCCAGTTTATGAGCAAGTAGGGTCTTCAGCTTCTGATGTCTTCTTTGGTTTTTCATGATTATCTTAAAGGTTAGGTTGTAAATGTCTGTCACCTTCTTGCTTGGGTTTATTCCTGGATTATTTCTGAAGGTATTATAAATGAGATTTTTCTAATTTTTAAACCAAATTGATATGTTATATAGAAAACTACTAAATATTGTATATTTATTTTGTATCCTGCTT